CAAAGGGTAAAAAAACAGCAAATTTTATCAATGAAGTGGAATCAACATAACTTTACTAACATTTTATTTATAAACCTATAAAGACTCTTTTTTTAAGAATGAATATAATTTCTTAAATTACTTCCAGTACCAGTTTTCTTTCATCTTTCTTTATTTCTTTTATTTTTTGTCCCTTTCTGATTTTTTACTATACTCCTTAATAATTGTATTACAATTTTTCTTCATGTAAAAAATAACTTTATATGTTCATTCCGTATCATAACCATTTTAGTAATTAAAAATTTTATGAACTTATCAAAAACATCAATCATCTGAGACTGATTTTTTAAAGTATTGAATTACAATCAGTTTTGTATTATTCTTTTACAAATCTATGATAGAAAAAAAAAGAGCTTCGGATGTTGAGTTATCTTTTCCCTCTTCTTTCTGTGATGCTAAAAGTGTGCAATACTTCACAATACAACTTCCATAAATACAATTCCCAGAGTAACAATGAAAATGAAAAGAACAAATTTTGAAATGACCACTGTTTGGTAACAAAAGGTCAGTAGGATTGTACAGATAGCCTGTGGTGAAGGGAAGTCAAACAGCTTTTCAAAATCCTTCTTTGTACATGAAATAGGGCCCAACCCTATTGTATAGATAATTTCTCACAACTTTCATTTGCAAACAATCTATCTTTTGAAGTTAGAATTTCTGTTTTTCGAACTTATATAAAACAACACAAATTTAAATTACATATTGTTATTAATGCTATTTAAGAAGAAAAGAAATCGTTGCTCGAGAAAAAGCTTCTAAACTGTGCATTCAAAATAGATTGAATATATAACTTTGTATGAAAATTAAATGTTCTTGAATGATTTATTCATTTATTGGAAATAGAGCACAGAATGCCTTAGATATAAAATGATTTCATTAACTTACATTGTCTGTTACAACTGATTATAAAATCTATTATTAAAAGTTAATAATATATTTAAATTAATTATCAGCAGTTTGAATAACATTAAAATGGCTTGTTCCATTTAACTGGATTTAAATCTATTTAACTGGACCAGAGTAATTTTTAAATCACATAAAATTATCTATAAAAAAATCAAATTTACGAAAGGCTAACTTTTAATTGTGTAAATTAATAATATTATATAATAAATAATAAATCATCTTTAATTGTAAGATTAAGCCATTAATTATATGATTATATCAAGTTATTTATACTTTTTCTGCTTTTACTTACATGCTTACCGATAAATCTGAATTAGCAAGCCTTTAATTTTAAAATTTCATGTCAAAAACATCTAACTTATAGTTAAAGAACAAGTTTCTCTTTCCTTCTATGGTGATAATTAAAGATTAGTCGAAAATCTTTTTCGTATAAAATATTCCTGGATTTTAACTACTCTGGTTTTAAATGACTTTTATTTGATTCTGATTTTAAATAACGTTTTATTAAATCTTCGTTGAGGTACCGTTTGAAAAAAGGCAGGTAAAATATTTTAAAAAATAACATACCTTGTTCCTTTTAAAATTTTTGCTTTCAGTAAATAAGTAAATATATATCAATAAATTTATTAAAATTAAAAAACCAAATAAATATAATATGAATAAAATAAAACTTTCATTAATATCTGCCGCCATTTTTATTAATCATTAATTTTTGTATTTTTACGAAACGGATAAACCTTGAAATTATAAAATTGAGTAAAGTTCTTATAATCAGATTTTTTGTTCAATATTTTGATAAATAAATCCTCGACTAATGAAATTTTTAAAAAATCCCTTCTCTGATAAAATGTATAAATGAAAAGATAATGAAGAAAAAATTTAGCCTTCAAAGAATCTTTATTATATTCTTTGCCGAAAAACAATAAAAAGTTTTTTAACAATTAAAATCTGTAAAAATTTAGATAACTAAAGCAATGAAACATTTTATTAATTTATTTTTTATATTATTATCATTTTTTACTTTTTTCTTATTTATTTATTTTGAATGTTAAAAAAATGTGGATAAAAAATAAAAGATTATCTGAAGTAGATTATTATCAAAACAACACAAATTTAAATTACATATTTTTATTAATGCTATTTAAGAAGAAAAGAAATCGTTGCTCAAGAAAAAGCTTCTAAACTGTGCATTCAAAATAGATTGAATATATACTAAAAAAAGTAAAGTCGAAATGATAGCAGTAAGTTGAAATGAGAGTATTGGCGTTTTTCTTGAAAGCCAAATTACAAAGGAAAAAGCAACCCATTCAGAAGAAACTTTAGGGGAAGGATAATAGTTTGAAACTGACAAATTCTTGTGAGGTGCGAAGTGTTTCTGAAAATTCTTCCTCATGTCAGTGAGGAAAGGATCGACCTTCTGCATATAATAGAATTCAGGGTCTGATTTTTGCTTCTCCTTTTCCCTGTCTGACAGATGAAGGAATCTCCAGATATCAAAAAATCTGTCACGGGTAATTGTCGACTTCACTTTTAAGTTCGTGAAAATTGGATTGTTCGACCAATAATCCGCAATATGCGGAACGCGGCAAACACTCATCACGAAGAGACAAGATATGAACGCCCATATCTCAGCTATATCAGTTATAGGCATCCATTTCGTCTTNTGAACATAGTCGGCATATTTGTTGGTATTTTCCATAATAGTTTGGCACATGTCATCGGTAAATAGCAACTTGAAGTATGATGAAGGTTCAGAAGAAGGATCCAAATTGTGAACAGGTCCGCCTTCAATTGTGCTTTCAATGTTTTTAAACAAATCATTAGACACATTTTCTGTCCACGTTATGTCTGCTAAGTTAATTTCGTCATCCTCACTTAGATGGTCATCCGTTTTATTATCTGGATTTCCTAAGTCTTCTTCAACTTCTTCTGCTGGAGATTGGAGAGGCCAACCATCATCCTCGCTTAATAACTCTTCGTCACTGGTATCAGACGCGAAGAGTAATTCATTAATTTCCTCTTGCGTCAAACCTCTCTTACGCTTGCTCATATTTTTTACAAACTTTAGATTAAAAAAAACTTAAAATTTACTTAAACTTAAAAACAAACTTAAAAAAAATTAAAGGAAATAATAACTAAAAAAATTTAGAATAGAAAAATAACTTTAAAGAAAATTTAAATAGAAATATCTTAGCAAATAGTATCGACGACTCTAAATTTAACGCAATGCAACTAAAAGTAAGAAAACAGTTGACTCTTACTATTACTAGCGCAGTTTTGAATGGCTAATACATTTTCTTCTAAAACTACGTTATTGGTTTTGAAGTTCACAATAGTTTCTGACGTCAATTCTAAAGTTTTATTGTGTTTTTTATATTTCGCCGCCTGCATTTATCTTTTTTACCTAGAAAAAATATTTGTTTAACCGAAATCAATACTTTAATATTACTTTTATCACTAAGGAGGTTAATTTTACTCTCGGTGATAAAGAAAAAAAATACATGTTTGCGTTTATCTTTTCTAGATAAATGCATACATTAGGTAGTACGTCCTGCATACATTTGCAAATGGAACATCGAGACAGATAAAGTAAGAAGAAAAAAAAATACGTATTTTAGGATAAAATACATATTAATGAGGCTCATGAACAGAGTTTTGTCAGCGAAGGTATGATCGTGGCAATATAGTCAGCATTGCGCACAAACCACCTTTATTTCATACAGACAAGCTGAGGTAATTGATACTCATCCTTCCAAAACTAGGTGGGTTTCCAGCCACCACTGCGGATCAATAATATTACTATCATCAAAAATATTTTTATTTTTTCTCAAATTTGAAAAAAGGAAAACACTTTAATTGCTGAAAATTGTCAATTTTTAGATAATAAAGCATTTCCTTTTCATTATAACAAAAACTTATTACATAAAGCTGCTTTAATTTATTACATAAAGTTCCCCCGTATTAGAACTGTTATTTATTGCTAAAGTTAATTTAAAATGCTTACTGAGGTGCCGAGAAAATTTAGTGGGTTTGTATTGGTCCCTGTCTGTATTGATTGATTATTTTTTATTGATTACAGATTCTACAGTCCGGGTGAAATAGAAATTCTTTTTAATAGGAGTTTTCAAAAAGCGGAAGAAAATTACCTGAACTTACAACTTACATTTTAAGAATCATTTTATGATTAAGATGAATATGGTGTAATACGTTTTTTCGGTCAATTTGTATATGTGGATACATTCCAAATGTTTAAGATTTTACTTTTGGTAATTATTTTATTTCAATTTATAAAAAAGACATAAGGCAGAAAAAGAAACCATCTTTGTACAAATAATGTTCCTGGCTAGATTCAATAGGACTTTTTAACAATTAGAACGCTAGATATATATATATATTGTATATATATATATATGTTGGTAATTATTTATATAATAAAATAATTACCAACAGTATTTAAAAAATATAAATATATATATTTTTTTATATATATTTATATCTTTTGTTTACTAATTCATTTCAAACGGTACCATAAATTATAATAAGGTCGTGTAATACTTAACAATACTTAATCTGTTAATACTTTAATGTGTTAGCACACGTTTTCACTGAAATTTGTTTTCAAAATAATTAGGAAAATTATGAAATTAATGAATTTATTTTTATGCCAGTTTTTATTTATAATATCTTGGTCCTAAGATATAAAAATTCAGTCATTAAAAAAAAAAAACGTTTGTTTTTAAATATTATGCTTACACCTAATAATATGGATAGAGTGGATAAATAATTAAGCAAAAACAGTTTCTCTCATAGTTTTAGATTTTTATTTGAGTTATTCCGTAATCGTTATAAATGTTATGCTTTAATCAAGACAAAAAAGGTTCTATGTTTATCTACCCATTTGTAACATCACTGATTGCTAACTTTAAAGTCAGTTTCGGTGATTAATGTAATTAGTTGTTTAAAGTTTTTTTCCCTTAAAAAAGTCATTTTCAATGCATGTATTGGGGTTTTAGCGAATGATTTTACAATTGGAATTAAACTGTTTTTACAGTTGGATGTTTTTTTCCAAAAAATAAGAAAAATAATAATTAAATAAATAACTAAAAAAAAAATTTACTAAAAATTTGTGCAATCCATGTCTTGATTTCTTTTAAAAACTAAATTTAGAGATAATAAAATCTGTTCAAGTTATGTCATACTTGTAATAAACTTTAAACATATTTCTATATATAGTACTGATGCAAATGAACATGCATTTTTTTTTCCTTTTTAACAAAAATAGTAATAATAATCCTAGAATAACATGGAAGTTACTTTTCACTGTTCACTTTTAGTGCAAAAATTGTAATGTTGTAGCATGAATAATAGTACTGTTGTTGTTCTTGTAACAAAATATTTCTAGATCTCAACCATGTTCTTAGTATACACTCAGGAGTTATAATCCCGGTTAGTAGTTGAAGGTGAATCTGAAATCAAATTATGATTCCTGTACATTCGGTTTTGTTACCACTGATACGTGTTTTTCAAGAACTAAATAATTTTCACAGTGCTTTCAAATGGTGACAAATCAGGAATTCAAGGTGGAAGTAGAAAAATTATCAATGTAATATCCAACTACTATTGCTATTTTTTGCTTCCCTGCGGAAAAAAGAGCAAAATATTTTTTTCCTCAACTCTTTCATTGTTGTCAGTTTTCGAGCTAAAATAGTACAAAATATTGTAGTTATAGAGCGTACTTCATTTGCCATTCGAACCATATAACATAGCATAGTAATCTTGTAGTAACAGTGAACGTTAGTGAGTATGGAGGAAATCCACGAATGTGTATAAGAAACTTCCATTTAGTGTATAGAGATATTTTATTTATTATAAACTTTCAATTTAATGAATCTTATCTTTCTTGCAATATTGTTTAAAAA